TAGAAATCGCCTAACGAAAACAAGCAATGTCTATAGTTATGATATTCGTTATGCGGCGCCTTGCGCTAGGCATTTGCGTATATGACATGTCATAAATATTTAAAAAAAATGTTTATTTGGAATTAAATTAATCTGCTCAGGCAATTCGTAATGTTAGGTGTTTCCTAGTTAAGCTATACCTTGTTGTTCTAGGTTAGTGAAAATGGGTGTAAGTGTCGAAATGTCGGAGTATAAAGCCATAATATTACTCGTACCTTATACACTCTACGATAGATTGTTGATTCACCTGTGAAAATAAAATAAAATAACAGTAACCGCAATGCGCGGTGCGGGTTTTATATCATTCTAGCTTATATTTCTTCTGTGCAAAGCTACAGTGGACTGTATCATAATTATTAGTGAACTGAAAAACATTTTCAGATAACGCCAAGGAATTGTCGGACGCAGCCATAGAAATGATTGATATTTCTTGTTCCGCGACTCACAAAGGAATATGTTAAAAATATTTTAATCCTGACGCGTCTTATATTACAATTCTGCGTACAATTCAATCGTCATAAATAATTCAGAATAATTCCAAAAGTGACTTTTGCAAGGTCGCCGTGTGCTCATAGGCTCCGATGTGTTTTTAATTTATTACACGTTTCATTGCCTTTATAAGGGGAACCCGGAATAATGTTCTAGATATGGATCCAGTTACATAAATATTATGTTGTATCTAGGTATATTTTATATTTACGGACTTCTGCCTACGATTTTTAATTGTTTAAATTTAATTGATCGCAAAATTGTCTTATGGATTAATTTTAGTTTTTAACGCTCACTTTACTTAAACCTTTTTTGAGAAAACTCTTTGATGATATTTTATTATTATTTTATACATACATAATTTTAGTTAGAGAAATAAAACCTTTTTCGGTTTGGGTGTTCTAGTACAACTAACGAAATATATTCTATCGGGTTGGCACAAAAGTAATGAGACACTTGGTTTAAGTTTTTACTTTTTTATTATTATTACAATAAAAAAAGTTTAGTCAATGATTTAATTACCATTAGTATCTAAGACTTCTTGCCAACGATCCGGCAAAGTTTGGATGCCTTTTGCCCAGAACTCTGATGGCTGTGCCTCGAAAAAGTTGTTCAACTCCGCCTCTACGTCAGAGAAATCATTAAATTGTTTACCCCGCAAATGATGTTTCAGGGCTCTAAACAAATGATAGTCTGATGGGGCGAGGTCTGGGGAATAAGGTGGGTGGGGTATCGTCTCCCAGCCCAAGTTCTCCAACTGCCGGCGAACCACAGATGCGACGTGAGGTCGAGCGTTATCGTGCAGTAAAACTACATTGACTCGTCTTCGTCGTTTTTTCTTGATAGCGGCAGATAATTTGGTAAGCTGGGTTGAATATTTGTCAGCGTTTATAGTTTCATTGTGTAATAGCTCATAAAACAGTATGCCTTGCGCATCCCAGAAACAGCAAAGCAGAATTTTTCGGCGGTTCTTTTGACTCGGCTTCGGTTAAGTTGGTGGCGTTTCTTCTCGAGGCAGCCAAAAAGCACGACGTGTATCGTTCTCGTAATAAATCCATGATTCATCTCCAGTCTGATCTGACAAAAACTCTTTACGTCGGGGTTGCAGCAAAAGTGACTGACAGATAGCGACACGGACTGGCGTCTGTAAGGATGTGCGGTACCCACCGAGCCAAAACTTTTCGATAACCAAGATCATGTAGATGGTGTTCCACGGCGTGGTGACTGCATTTAAGTGCTTCCGCTAATTCACGAGTGGTATCATCCGGATTCAACTGCAGTTCGCGGCGCAAATCGACATCATTCACTGCGGGTGGTCGCCCTGAGCGTGGCTGACTTTCAAGGCTCCTGTCTCCTGATTTAAAACAGTCAAACCATCGGGACACCGTCGCATGGCTTGTACTTCCAGCGCCTAATGCATTGTTGATATTGTCAGCCGCAGCCCGCGCACTGTGGCCTAACAAGTAGTCGTATAAGTGTAGTGTTCGAACTTGTCGCTCGTCCATTTTTCTTCAAACTGACTAAACAAATCGCGAGCGCGGCTTTATATACCCTACACCAGAAGTACCTAGAATGTTCTACAACATTCTAGAATATTATCGAAAAAATTGATTTTAAAAAGGAAATGTTATAGATTTTTCTAGTGTGTCTCATTACTTTTGTGCCAACCCAATACATAGTTTTAAGATTTATTCTTATGTTAATTGTTAGGTGAGAACACTCAATAAACATACTTAAACATTATCAAAACAATATGGAAACACAGAAAATCTTACGCTATCTATAGTCCAGATGAGTAATTACTTGAAAAAATGACATAACTTAAGCAAATATTTCTAAACCATAGACAAGAAATTGAATGAAATAAGAACTGTCAATAGCTAATAATAGTATTCTTACTTCATTCAAACTCTTGTTTATTTATTAAAAATATTTGCTAAAGTCATTATTTTTATAAGTGTTTCTCTAGAATACCCTTGTTTTCTCAACCTCCGTTTGCATATATTTCAATAGTTTAAAATACGCTCAATGCATTATCGCTCAATCGGGGATTTTAACTCAAATCATTTAGGTATTTATAAACTTATGAGTCGCCCAAATCTGATACCTAAATATTGTGGCCTTGTCAAAGTTGAAAATACGTTTTGCCAACGACAAGGAGCCACCTAACGACTTTAAGCAACGCATAAAGTTAGGACATGCATTGTGCGGCGCCTAGCGCTTGGAATTTGCGTAATGTGACATATACATTTTCTCTTTGGCCATAACGGATGTGTTAAGGGATAAAATCAATTAAGTAAGTTGAAATCAAGTTGTTTATATATTAGAAATATTTTTTTTTAAATGGAGATTTTTTCATATTTTCGTACATTAAAAAATAAAAAAAAATTACATTGGCGACTTGGGTGCTCGTGTAAATACAAAAAAAAATATATGGAATTTTCTTGTTGTTCTTATTGCCTCTTTACGTGTAAAGGTCATTAACGTGACATTGGCGGAATCGTGTAAACGCAAATATGCCATACGTTAAAAAAAGAACTTTAATTGAAGCATGCAAAATCATAGACAAACATTGCCTAACTAAGCAAGTGCTTAGAAACGACAAATCTGATTAAGCTATTCTTAATACTAAGTGATTGCTAGTTAAGATATGCCTTGTTATAGATTAAGGCTCCCTCGTTTGGGCAGATATGTTACGTTTTCGGTGAAGGGTAGTAAAAGTAACCTGGGCCACCATGCTACATTAAATAGACTCCAAAGACAATTTAATCTGTTAAGCAAACAGCCAGAATGCCACGCGGATATTTTTTGCAATAAACCATTGCAATTCAAGCGGGAGGTGCGAGCTCTCATATCTGGACCTGTGTAGCAATATTTACTGTGCCTGTTTTGACATTTAATTTGACATTTTAATCATATTTTAATTTTATTTTTGTTTAGTTGTTATTATTGTCTACATTCTTTATAATTTTAATTAATTTATTGATTATTGCTTTTTTACACTTAATGGATTGAAAATTAATTGTTAGTAATTATATGTATTGACTTGTAATAGTATATGTATTTTTGACTTCGAATAAGTGTATGTAATCAGAAAGTGTTCTGTTATTTATATCCACGTTTGCATGCCGTGGCAACCTGTAATTAAGGCAAAATTTAGCATCGATTTTATATTATAAGAACTGAATAATTTACTTATAGACGATTTGTGTCTTGTTGGTTGTCCTATTCAAATAAATAAATAAATAAATAATGAAAACTGGCATTGGTGTCCTCGTTAATTATTCTCAGGGCTTTCTGTCATCTTAAATACTTTAATTCTTTATTAATACTGGTGGTCTCCCATTTGTCAAAATTCGACCAAAAAGTGTTAACTAAAAGTTAAACCTTCTTTATGAGTATATGGCATGTAGAAATGAATATGAAGCCTGGCAGCACACCAGAGATTCATCCTAAATACTCTTTCAAGACTCCCCAAAGCCTGTAAGGACCTTAAAAAGCTTCTGGGCGCAGTGGGGAGTAAGACTTTTCACGCACAACGGACCGATCTGAGTGCGGAAATTTGGAGTCCTCTAACCTAACCTAACCTTGACATGCAGAAAATTTGCATGTTTTCATCAATTTAATATATTTCATTTCTAGTTTTACTGTACCAAATTTCATAAGTACTCTGCCCGCGCAATTATCTTAAAATAACGGTCTAAATTTTTTTTCTTCACGCATCAATGTAATGGTTATAATAATTTTATCTCGAAGTTTTCAATGAATGGTACAAAATATGGTCAATAGTTGTATGAATAGATAAAGAATTCAAAAAAAATCTGTATTCTATAAGCGTCATCTTTTGTTTTCGCATGGCAAGGAGCCAGACGATTAGTAAATTGTTATTCTATAGGTGTTCTGAGGTGTCATAAAGGTGTCATTACACTAACTTCAAAATATTATGCTTTAGGTGTTTAATAATACAGTCTATTTTTGACTCACATTGGAATTTAATACAATTTGTAAAGTTGCTACTTATGCGCCTACCACACGTGCATGCTTGACCACAGTTTTACTTGCGCATGCCGGCTTGTACGCTGAACACTGTGCGTGTAGTTGGTAAAATGGTAGCATGCGCAAGTAAAACTGGTCAAGCATGCACGTGTGGTAGGCTCATTACAACGTACACATGATTATTATATCGAATAAAAGCACATTTCGCAGTAGTGTGCTTCATCACAAGCCGTTTTACGATTCTCCACACTGGCCTACTGCCGATTGAAGTGCATTAACGATAGCTTAACGTGCCTTCCGAAGCACGGAGTAGCTCGAGATAATTTGGTCACCCATCCCGTGACCGACCCTTGCGAAAGTTGCTTAACAATAACGATCGCGGGTCACGGAGCTTATGCAGTACGTCACCGAGCTATTAAATAGTGCTTAACATATCGCTATCAAATATGATACAAGCTTCTATATACTTAATAGTAATGAGTATTAAAAGGTATTCGTTTTTACAGAAGTAATACATTGCCTGCCTGATTAATTCTAGACCGTCAGATATAAGCTATTAAAATTAATGAAGAATATCTCTTAAACGACGTGGTAAGGTCAATTGTTTATCTAATGAAACTTATGTTTAAAAAAAACAGCCAGTGCGTGTCGGACTCGCAATCGAGGATTCCGTACAAACCTGTAGATATTAATTAAAAATATTTTCAAAAATTTACGGTTTTCACAATTTTTCTTGTGTCTGTGCTATAAGATGTGGCATCGTACCAAATTTCAAGATTCTGAGTTCACGGGAAGTACTCTGTTTTGATTCCACCGCGAGTTTCGAAAAATTGTAGCATAAGCGACTGTACCTTTGCGTTGACTTAGAAGTTTGAATTTTTCACAGCTGCAAGGGACAGTAGACCTGAGTATCTGATATTCAGCTTGATACCTACATGCGTTCCTGAGAAAAAGTCTTAAGAGACAGAACATCGAAGTGATCCTTGATGGGTTTGTTTTTTTCTCTCGGGTACGGAACCTTAAGAAGGCTAAAAACCCTACTTGTAATTTTGATAAACAATTACACTGGTATATATATAGTCGAATGAGATGTAATTACTGAGTGAAAGTAATAACTTATAGAAATATTTTTAACCAACAGACGAGAATGTGAATAAAGCACTGTCAATAGTTAATATTAATAGTATTCTAAATTTTGGGACAAATATTTGCTTAAACTTATACTCAAGTAATAACATCAAACCCGACTATAGATACGAGTATTACATGCTCACTGTTGATTTTTTTTTATCGTGACATTTTTGTCATTTCTGTGGAAATCACCTTCATTGTCACGTGTTCAACTGCGCGCGCCAGAGGTGACAGCGATCATATTACTTTATTTTATTTTATTATTTTTTATCACTAAACCAGTACAAAAGATTTCTAATGCTCTTACTAAGCCTGTCCTCTGGTAGCGGGATCTTAATTCCTCTCTCTGACTTTCTTTCCACATGTCAAAATTAATGAAGCATGCCTCTGATAACTTTTATAATACATAGAGTTCGTTTCACGAAAGAAGTCTCTCGGATCACAATCTTTTCGCTTTTATTACAAAGGAATAAGAGATGTGCCGCGGGCCTTCTTCCGTGACACAGACTTTAAATGCTTTTTGACAATAGAAATCAGAGTTCGCCAAAATCTGATATTTATAATAAATATCAAAATATCCGATATTTGATATTTGTCCGATATATATCATGGATATGAAAAGCTGCTATTTTTAAGCTGCTAGTTGCTTTATTTAATATTTTAAATCAAAAGTGTAAAATTGTTTTATTGAATATATGTATTCTATTAAAATAGTTATTTAAGATACGAATGCGGAAAGTAAGGTTTTACGAATAAGGGCCAAATTGAAAACACGAGCGTAGCGAATTTCATTGGCACGAATTCGAAAAACCTTTTTTTAAATTTCTTTGGTGCTTGGCCAAAAAAAATGAAAAAATTACTTTTAAGCACGTGTGCAGTAAAGGATTTCAGTACCTTTTTTTTCAACACGTGTTTAAAGACTCACTTTCGGTGTTTACAATGGATTCAAAAAATAGCGCTTTATGAGCAACTACATTGAAAAATAATTTAAATGTAGTATGCGTGAAAAATTGCTACTTCGGGTCAATGTTGCCAGCGTTTGCCAGGTTGGTTAATTTTCTAGCTGATATTCAATACTTAAAACTCAAAATAACAATAAATACTATGAATATTAATTGATATATCGTGATATATATCCGTTGATATTTAACACCGAACCCTTTTAGAAATGCTGACGTTTATATTCTATTTATTTCAGGAATCGCTCTCGGAATGGGATAGAGGCTTCGGTGACGTCGAGGCGCCGGCGCCAGTGGCGGGCGCGCCGGGCCGCAAGTGGTCCGCACGCACAGCGACGCATGCGCAAGACACATCCACTGACAACGCCGCTCCTCTCAACAACAGCAGTGACGCTTGCAAGCTGCTCGTCGTTAGTATATTTCAATAATTATCCAATCAATCAGTCAAATTCTCTATTTACATTAACTATCATCATCATCAGCTCTTTTACGTCCCCACTGCAGAGTTCACTTCCTTATGGATGGTTAAAGATCATGCGCCATGGCATTCCACGCTGGCCTAATGCGGATTGGAGGGTTTTAACTACTGCAAATGCAGCTGGAAACAATGGCTTAACGTGCCTTCCGAAGTACGGAGTAGCTCGAGATAATTTTTTGGTCATCCATCCAGTGACCGACTCTTGCAAAAGTTGCATATCAATAACGATCGCGAGTCGTGGCGCTTAACCATTAAGCCACCTAGCTATTGCATGAATACATACTAGGTACATAAATATATTAAATGACAATGTATTCAAGCAGACATACTAGGTACATAAGTACATAAATTTATTAAAATGACAATTTATTCAGTCTGCAAGCAGACATGCAAAATGTCAATTCATATAATAAAATTACAAGAAAAAACATTAAGCATTAAAACAGTAAACATGTGTTAAATATTATTGCTCCAATTCTACATATTCCTTAAAAACTCTTTTCAATCAACCATCCTGTGGAATTACTTTTTAACTTAATTAATGAGTTTTATTTCTCTTATATTGTCTGGTATTCTGTTATATACATATCCAATTTTGTATTGGGCCCTGAAATCTTAATGTTCTTGTTATCCTTGTGTAGTCTTTGTGCCTTCTCAAAGATACTGAACAGCAAGACTGTAAATGATTTGATTACATTCATGATGTACATTCCATTTAAAAACTAAATAGACCGAGATTGACTAACCATGATCAATTCCCTTTGGTCATTCGACTGCCAACACAATTTCACTGTCTTCTAATCCTCGCCTCGTCTCGTATACACATAGTACAGTCTCGTATAAATATCATTAGCATCAACATAGCCTGTCAACGTCCCCAAGGCCGTGACACAGGTCATCTTTATGATGGAATTCCTTTTGAATAATAGTAACGTACAACAGTAACTCAGTATGGTTTGGTACGTAGGACTAAAGGCTTAAAATGTTTTCTTAAAAGTATTCCACGTTTGATGAAACAGGTGTAAACGACTCCAGATACGGACTTGCCATTCAAAGCACGGGAGGGCTTGAGATATTTCTTTGTCACTCCATTTAGCTTTTGTTACTCAATGACAGAACTTTGCGATTGTTGTTAAACTTCTACAATCACAGATTGAACACCTTAACACTACGCTGTTGCGCTCACGTTGCCTGGTGATAGCGGACATATTTGACTATCAGATATTTTCTCTCTTGTTGTATGCGTGCTCATACAATTGCACACGTTTCATCGCCAGTCACGTCACGTTAGTCATATGAACACGAATTCAAAAACACAAGATAATGCAATAGCGTTTTTGCATTAGTTCTATTCTTCAATTGGACATTATCTACTTTAATATTGGTACTGATTTTATAATTTAATTTGTTTGACATTCTTCAAGTGGGAATAATTATTGTACTCTATAATAGTTTTATGTAACAATGATATTTCTAATTTAATAATTTTGACATACATATATCCAACGTGACTTTGTAATTTTATCAATATTTGCATGCTATAGCTGATGGCTAAATGGGCTGAACTCAAATTGTAATTCAATCTACAATGTACCTGTGATGTACCTCATTTAAGAGCAAATAAATTATTATTATTATTATTTTGACCTTTTTCTTCAACGATTTCTGAAATTTGATGTTCTGCTACTATATCATAAATGTCCTGATGAATCTACCTATTTTTATCTTGTTGCTATATTGCTAAGTGAAGTATAAACGTTTAAAAATAAATACAAAATTCTTGTGACAAGATAACGAGGAACAAGACGCTTCTCGCATTGGTTATTGAGTTTCTAATTATGCCTCTAATTGGGGTTAAGTCAAATGAACTTACATCCTATAGAGCCCCATGGTCTACCCAGGCCTTGTAGCAATTATTAGTTAATTGAGTCACGTTCTTCCTAACGATAAATAACAAGTAGGTTTTTATTGACCCTGCAATCTTCATACATGAAAATAGCCAAAACAATACTTTTTCTGTGCTCTGTACGATTACAGGGCACAGAAAAAGTATTGTTTTGGCTATTTTTGCTTTAACTTTTAATCTGCTTGTAAGAACTTTCCTCGGACTTTAATAATATTTGAAAAAAAAATGTCGACTCGATCAATAGTTCTCGAGTTTTGCGCTTTGCAAGACATTAGAGATTTATAGTAGACTGTTTTCACGCGACTTTGCCTGCATAAATGATAGCCTATGTCGCCGCGTATGGTTTCAGTAGATGAAAGAATTTTTAAAATCAGTCCAGCATACAATCAAATCATTCCTTTTTATAATAAAGTCAATAAAATAAAATTAGTACCCCGTTTACGTGAATGATTTTCTGAAATAACTGTGTAATCAGCAAAAATTGTATTCTGCAGTACATCGGTGATGCCAAGAACCCAATATGGCGTATTTCCCTATGCGGGGGTAACGCTGCGGGTATAGCAGCGAGGGCTGGTACCAAGCTGCTGCCGCCGAAGATCAGAATCGTGTGGAATCCGCCAACGACTCTTTACCATCATACAGAGAAGCTCCGTCTTGTGGTCACTGCTGTTAATAGCGGTAAGCAGATAATATTGACAATGAAATTCGTGAAATATTTTTTCAGCTAAATAAATTTAATGAATAAGTATATTAAGTGGATATACGTGGATGGGGATTAAAAGGACTCTCTTTCCTCTTACAAATGAAAGTTAGATGGTCTATCAATATTGCACAAATCTGGAATTGGTTGATTTGCTGGGCCGACAGCCGAACCCAGTAAGCAACGGCAGTAGACAATAATTTGTATTGATTAGGCGGTCAATCGAAATGTTATAAAATAAGAGATATAGCTTTAATGTACATGGGTAACTATTTTATATTCCAGGAGCGGTTTGCAACAACGACTCCCAGTTTGTATGCGGTGTGACCAGCTTATGCATATCTTCGTACCTAGTATGCGATGGCATCAAACATTGTCCCGGGGGTGAGGATGAGGATGCGAGCGCTTGTTCGCACCGCCGGGATCCCCCACTCCTCGAGCTGCTACGGCGCTTCGCCGCCAGGAACCAGGAGCTGTTGGGCCTAGACCAACCGGACACTATGACCAAGCCTTCAGTAATTAGTGAGTATCACAGATCGATCCAAGATATTTCTGCTTCTATCAAAAATTCAATTATTAATCATTGGCCTTCCTTAAGAAATTTAAAATGTAAATACTATCTTCTTACAACTATTTTAAAATTATAAAAAGTGCATAAAAATCTTAGAAACAAATAAAAACGCGTTGCTTTATAAAACCAAGTAACGTCACAACTACAGAACAAAAACGCGTCCAGCATTTTCACTCAAATCGCGCGAAATTGGAAAATTTTGATGTATTCTTAGGGCACTTAGTGACTAAATAAAATATTTGTATTTTTTCGGAAGTTTATTAGGACATTAGGATTGTATTGAGATACTTTTCAAAAATGAGTAAAATACACTATTAAGTCCGCTTTCAAATCCGTTTTATTTTAGTATCCTCTTTTATATAAACTGGGTAGACCCACGCAGAGAAGTCTCGCGGAACCTTTTTGGCGGGAAGAAATATAAATGAATGAGAAGGCGAGAAACATATCACATTCTCGAGTCTCGGGGTTTCTCGGAGCTTCTCGGCGTGAATCTGTCCGCCCTATTGAGACCACTCAGTATCAAGGGACGAATATTATTTCGAGCATGGCTCACTTACCTTCGATGGAGGTCCCTAAAACTGATCGGTAATTGAATGCTGAGAAGAAAACAAAAAATACAGACTACATCAATAATAAGTTCGCGCTCTAAGGTGTGGAGCAGGGCTTTAGATAACCAAGTAAAACCATACCTGGTAACAAGCTAGGCAATAAATAACGCAGTAATATTGTTGTTTTCCCTAAACAATCACTTTCCTTTAAAAGAGGTAAGAGCAGCTATCAAAATATATATATTTACAATTATTAACTCAATAATAAAAGCCATATTTACATAAACAATGACATTATCAAGTGATAAAAAAATATAAAATAAAATATGTTATTTCCCCTTGGTTATCTTTAGTTTTAATTAGTATACTTGACATCGTAACATTGTAAATGTTAAGTGTGGGTGATTGACGTCTTAAACCTCAATAGCTTGTAATAATGTTTTGACGTGTACACATTGTTTGAATGAGTGCAGTAATTAAGCATTTCTAAAGAGTTTGCTAGGTTTTATGTGTTTTTTTTATTATGTGCAAAGACGAAATCCACGCAATTGGTTGGTTTATTATCGATGTAAGTAACATCATCCTACAATAGAGAAATTATTGCAGTGAATGTTTTTTCTAGAGTTATATGTTCAAAGTAATAACGTCATTTGTGTAAATTTTGAATGCATATGGCTGCTTTATTTATTTTTATATTACTCAGGTCTATGTAAGTAATATTATCGTTCCTGGTCGATATTGGTTTTCCGAATGGATTAATTCAAAACCAGATGTTCCAAAATCACCCGCGTATGGTGTAGATGAAAGAATTTCCACGATCGAATCAGTGTTTCAGAATAATAATCCTTACAAACAAAGTTAGAAACTACCTTGTTATAATATTGGTACAGATCTAAATGCGAAAACAAATGCTAGTTTAATTGAGAGTAGGTGATTTGAAACTTTCAGTGAAGATCTCTGAGGGCGAGCAGAAGTCCAACGCGTTCATGGAGTTCGCGGCGGCGCTGAAGCCGTACGGACCGTGGAGCTACCTCGTGGTGGGCATGCTTGTCTGCGCTACCATACTCATGTTCTGTCTCGCTTGGGGTGAGTGTTTTATATTCATTTATCAGTGAGACGCTTTTATTTGTCATATATTTTTTATTTTAAAAAGTACAAAACCCACGGCGTAATGTAGCACTCGGTTCTCTCTGTCCACTTTATAAGGAGTCCAGTCTGAGGTGTGGTAAACGACGTTTTATAATCTCAACGTTTAAACATTTATTTAAATTACACAAATCATATATTGTAAACAAGCTTGACTACTATATGTGATATCCTTTATAAGGCCAATTGAATGAATCAGCGAACAGGCTTGCGATTAAGCCAATAGTTTCAAAGAACAGCTTGGGTGACACGATTTTGGATTTAGAACGATGGGATGTGTAATCGGCCTGATCGGGTTTCTTAGAATTAACACTGATTAGAGAGCTTTTCAGGAGTACGACTATATTTTTCTTTAAAAAAATCGCACCAATTCGTAATGGCATGACTTGATGACCCTGTTAGAGTTCCGTTGAAAATTTCCATCTTGGGAAATATTTTTTCTTAAACTAAATGTCATTTCTTGGGTGCATCCATAAAATATTTTTTCACACCTCGCATCTCGAGATTGTCATGCTACGCTTGTGATTTGACTGACTGGTGTTAATTGTGAAAATTGATCTATAGATTCAGCCAGAACCATTCCGCTTCGCGAGAGCAACTCGTTTTAATATTGGCGATCATTTCCAGAATGCTGCTGCAAGCGGTCCAAGCCGTCAGACACGCCGGTGAACATGCCTGCGTCGTGCATCGACCTGTCGCCGACGGTGTCCGTGACCGCGGCGTCGCAGCAGCTGTTCACGCCCCCCGCGCCCCCCTCCCCGCCGGAGTACGAGCCGCCCCCCTCGTACTCCTCGTTGTTCCCGCGCGCCTTCAAGTCTTCCCCCACTCCGGTGCCGCATTGCTCACACCAAGAACCGCCCGATTGAATACGAATCCACAATAGTTAGGTAGGTTATTCCAATTGACGTATGCAGTTATATTATTTGTATTGAATAAAATCGAAATCTTGTACAGTGTTCGGTACGTGATGCACGACAGGTTTAGCTGAGTTAATTGTCAAAATTGTGAGGTACAAATAAAAGACTTGGTGGCTCTGGATATATGCTCTAAAGAGTGTATATATGCGCATGCGCACTCTTAGAACTTAGGAAGACTCTAAACAGTCTTCTGCAAAAGGCTGGCGTGCCAAGAACACAAAACCAATATCTCTGAATGTACATCAATTTTAATAATGACATGCGTTATTAAACTAGAGGCCACTATGGTATATTATAAGACATTTGAACCCGTTTCTATAAACGTCCAATCAATGATGATGATTGGAGATAACAACAAACGTTGTACGATCATAAAAGGTAATAATTTTTTGTTACATTAAAATAATTTTGATAAAACACCTATTATTAAGGTGTTAAATCCTTAGAAAAGTCAAATATTAGAACTGTCTGAGATTGAACAATAATGGATGACAGGAATTTTCAGACATGTCGATGAGGTATCAATTTCTTCAATTACTCACCATAGACGCAGATTAATGGCATTCAATCCAGAACCTCATATCATGTAGAATGTAATCATTATGTGACCATCACGTAGTATTGATTCCTGAACCTATCGTGTGTGTATGTACTAAAAAGCGTGTGTTATTACTATCCCGCTAAAACAGCCTTTATTTACATAAGCAACAGAGAGCAAGATTAAACGAATCGTTCGTTACCCCAAAAATACTGAATTATACTACTGAAATATTGTGTTCATTGACCATTTTATACTAACAAAAGACAAGTCAAGGATACATTAATACTATTAATAAAAATAGGTACTTCCTGATGTTAAGATTTTGACTGTATAAGTTATCATATTAAGAATAGGTAATGTTTATATTACTGAGCTAATGAGGAAGTATTTAAAAAAAAACGAAAGCACTAAAAAAGCACCTCCACTAGATGGCGGCTCTAGCAAAAGTTTATTTTTGCAGGAAACGAATGGACCAAAGACAGTCATTTCCGTTCCTTTTAACTAACATATTAAAATACAGAAATTTGAAAAGTTCGAAACTTAGATATCAATACAAATACGAAAAAGTACAAATAGAATATGAGTTCTTTTCTGAGTTTTGAAAAGTAATTTACTTTTAAACATGAAAGAAAACCGGAAGGGTTGTCATGGTGAAATCAAGAACGTACCGTAGCGACATCTAGTTTGATTTCGGGAACTAATGTTTCTTTGCATACTTCCTCATTAGATTTTACTAGCCTTGCAACAGCTAGGATACAATTGACACGCAACGTACATACGATTCGCTAGCTTGTGACGCGATAATTCAGTATTGTCTTCCTTGTCTAATCTTAATTTTCAGTGTTTAATTTTAAGCGGAAATTATTGAAATATTTGATATATATATTTTTAACCGACTTTAAAAAGGAGATTATCTTTTCGATGTGTATGTATGAAATTTCGTTGGAATGGCGTAATATTCATGTATGCTGGTCTGTATAGGCTTTTGAATACGTGTGCAAAATTTTATGTATTATGTAAATATGTGGCATCGACTTCAAAACAATTGTTTGTGTTTCCACTTTTTGTGTTTCGATTTTATTGAAGACTAGTGGCCGCTAGCGACTTCGTCCGCGTTTTCCATTATTTCTTCGCTCCTAATAGTTGCAGCGTGATGTTATATAGCTTAAAGCCTTCCTCGATAAATGGTATATTCAACACAAAAATATTTTTTCAATTCGAACCAGTAGTTTCTGAGATTAGCGCGTTCAAACAAACAAACAAAATCTTCAGCTTTATAATATTAGTATAGATAAAAATTTATGGTATTACTTCTCTCCTTTCAGTCGTTTCTCTTAATTACGATTTTTTAAGTCGGTTTTTTTCTTTATGATTGTAACATTATATTATGCTAGCTGAATGTGGACAGATTTGTACGTTGTGAATTACGCGTCAATTGATCAACGGATACAAGGCTTCTCAAACTTTTAAAATCACAAAATTGAGCAGTAAATTATAATCACGTCAATTTATATAAAATTGACAATTTTCTTCAGCTGATTTTATATTTTAATAGTTTTAGTGTAGAGTTGAAAATGTATTCAAAAGACAATTTTTAGTAATCTGATGTGCTCTGTACATAAACAATAAATGTTACCTACATACTTTGTTATCACAACATCAAGAGTTTGGAAAATGTAATAGGTTTATGTAGAGAATTCTGTTGTTTTCATTTTCATACAAAAATATAGTATATTATATAATCTATATTTTTTATGTCCATATAAAATTAGACTTCATTACTATGGCATTTGACATAAAATTGTATCTAAATTGCGATATGCCATTCGTAACTTGAAATTAACAAAATATATATAATAATGCTTTAACGGTCTGACGCTGCAGTTGCAAATAAAACTTCTTTTCTGATGAATATGTAGTGGATGTCAGTGGCGTAACTACAGGGTGGACAGTCGGCAGAATGACACGGGCCCCCAGCTGGAAAGGGACCTCTGTCAGAGGAGACTCCTTACTCCTGACATTTACTATTTACGCATTTAGTAAAAAAAATTGAATATCCAATGAATTTGCCACGGGCCTCAAACGGTATAGTTACGCCACTGGTGTATGTAAAATATCTTGGTTCTAATTAACGACCTACAATAATGTTTAAAAAAAAGCTTAGTTTTCCAATACTTTGAAATATTGTTGAAAGTTTTTACTAGTCTCTTTAGGATCTGTTGTATGTTTTGTAATTGTATTATTATAATAATGCTAAGTTAGTTTATAATTATTATGCTTAGTTTAAGAAATTAAATGGATTCCATACAATACCTATTAACATAAAGTGATATGTATTTATAAGGAACGAAAAAATAAACTATTAATAGGTATTTATTAAAACAAATTAACATTGTGTTTTATTTTTTTTATCACCCGATTATCTACATAATATTTCTAGCAACAAGACACTAGAAGGCAAAAGAAAGAAAACATATTATTTTTGATTATTTATAAACACTAGAATGAATGCCAATAAAAAATCTCAACAAAATAAAATATTAGGGGTTAAAGTATGAAATTGCAGTTTTATTGTAATAGGTTGCTTGAATTGACATAGAATCCTCATGGTTTGAGGTTTTCGAAAATACTTATTTAAGATACGAGTGCGGAAAAGTAAGGTTTTACAAATAAGGGCCAACACGAGCGTAGCGAGGGTTTTCATTGGCACGAATTCGAAAAACATTTTACGCTCAAGTTTCTTACAACATTTTTCAATGCTTTTTGCGAGGAAATAAATCAATTATATAGGTTAATAAAACTAAGTATGTATTAAAGGTAAAAATTATTTGTTAAAATTAAACGTGATATTTGAACATGTTTTCGAATCATACATTTTTATTAGAAAATATTAGTTCTAGGCTCCTTGAAATACTTTTGCCTCTAAAGTTTGACATATTTTCATCAAGTTTTTTTAAATTTCTTTGGTGCTTGGCCAAAAAAAATAAAAAATACTTTTAAGCACGTGTACTGCACACGTGCTTAAAAGTATTTTTTATTTTTATTTTAATAGTTATTTTAAGATACGAGTGCCGAAAGTAGGGTTTTACGAATAAGGGCCATATTGAAAACACGAGCGTAGCGAGGGTTTTCATTGACACGAATTCGAAAAACCTTTTTTAAATTTCTTTGGTGCCCCGCCAAAAAAAATTAAAAAAATACTTTTAAGCACGTGTGCAGTAAAGGATTTCAGTACATTTTTATTTAACACGTGTTTAAAGACTCACTTTCGGTGTTTACAATGGATTAAAAAATAGCGCTTTATGAGCAACTAAAAACCTTTTTTCACAGGGTTTCTATGAGGTTCTTCTTTTAAAAAAAATGTGAAACATTTGAATATAGACTTTCAATTGTTCGTGTTATTCGACTTAGACAAGAAATACTGCAATTCTTGCGAAAATTCCACCGGAATTAACGCGGCAGAAACAGCCCACAATATCAACCTTACACCGTACTATTTTGGTTTAAACGCTTTCGTGCTGGACACTTCGACTTGAAGAACGAACCACGAGGAAGACCGCCCACGCAGGTGAATAACGATACATTACGAGAGATGGTGGAAGCCAATCCTAGTCAAACTACCCAGGAATTGGCAGCATAGTTCTAACGTTACCTTACTCACAATATTTACTAATTTCGTGTCAAATCGATAAAATAAAAAACAATGCAAAAAATGGCCAAAATCTGCAGAATGAAACGCGTGTTAAAACTTGTGTTGCCTTGTTGAATAGGCACCGAAATGAAGGAATATTGGATCAAATTGTGACATGTGATGAAAAGTGGATTCTTTATGACCTACACCGTAAAAAAATGCAATGGCTGACCCCAGGTTAAACGCCACAACTGTCCTAAAGCAAAACTTCCCAATAAAAAGTAATGTTAACCGTTTGGTGATCTATTCACTATAGTTTTCTCTGATCTGATCAAGCAATAACGGCAGATGTCTATTGTGCCGAACTCCGAACAATGTTGGCAAAACTAACAGCAAAACAACACCGACTCATGAATCGATCTTCACAATTATTGCTCTATAACAACGCGAGACATCATACAGCACGAGAAACCCGTTTTGACCCGTCAGGAACTGCAGTTAGAAATCTTTCGTAATTCTCCGTATTCGCCAGACCTTGCTCCAACGGACTACCATATAATACCAGGATTTTTCGTGATTTGGACAATTATCTACGTGACAAGAAGTTTTCTTTCCAGGAGGCAGTACACCACATAGTTTGTGCAGTCTAGATCCTCAGAGCTCTATCGCAAAGGCATAAATGACCTACTTATTAGATGGCAGCAATGTAAAAATAATAATGGTAACTAATTTGAATAATTTTTTTTTAATTATAAAATAATCAATTTTGATTCTCTGTACAAATCGGCAATTTTATACTTTAACCTTATTAATGTATGTATAGTGCCCGGAACGAAAGTAAACCTAACATGGCGTCCATTGCGCAAATATAATCGCGGTAAAAACTTAAAACACTTACTATTATCAGCATTTATATAAATTACAAATAACTACAATGTTATTAATAAAAAAATTATCGAACTATTCGATAAAGGAGATGGGTAACAAAAATGTTTGATATATCTCTAATTTGTTAATGTTATTTAATGAAATATTTCACTTAAGTGTGATTTAAAAGTTCAATGCAAAAAAAATCACAACAACTACGAGGTTCAGCATAGTAATAAATCACTAGTTCTTAAGTGCACACTACTTTTCAATGAAAAAAGTGCAATCGCAAATGGTGGCAAGTGAATTTGTAGGGAAATGTCAAGAGCAGGATGACACTACACCACTACCTACACTGGCCCAGTAGCTATGGTTAAGTTTTCTACTGCTGGTTTGATAATGTTGTATTTTTGAATAACGCGGACATAGACTCATGTACCTACAAAGAACAGAAATCAATTTTTAAAAGGTACTTACTGCATTTTTAAGGATCAAATAATTAGAACAAACATTTTTTTAATGCCTTCCCCCATAGGCAGTTGCCAAGTTTGTATAAATTTTGTGCGGGCTGGCCCAGTTGGTATATTAATTCGAGAAATGTAGCAAAGTACCTATTGTGTACTTGAATTTCTCACATACAAATATAGTGGTAAAATCTAGCGGATTACTGTAGAAGTTTTTAGCGCGAATGGGAAAGATTTATGTGGAGATATTGGTTTGTAAAATTCGTTATATTTTGCAAGATAAAGAGTCGTTCAAGTAAAAAATATATACACAGTAAAGAACGAAAATTGCTTTGTAAATTTATGACGGAACTTTCCAGGGACTGATTCGTATGACTACCCAAAAACTCCTCTTAAAAGCATTAGTATTTTTAACATCAACGTTGTATGAAAATATAAGTTATATTTTAGAATAATGCTGTACGGATGAGATCCCTTTATCTTAATTGTTAACAACAACAACAGTGGGTTTTATGTAGAGATGTAGAATTTACATAAAATCGATTTTAATTTTAACACTATACATATCGCTATGTAAAAATCGGTAAGAAATTTTGATGACGATAGCTTTGATATGAACAATAAATATGCAATTTTAAGAAACAAATTATTTTTCATGATAAATTAATGTCATTTTTTTCACATGCAAGTTAAGAGTCTATTTTTCTCATTATTTTGGCAAAATCAGTTATTGAACAACATATCACTGTTAAAGATGTTACAAAACATTGTAGACAACGAGTGCCCATAATTACTTAATACAAAAAACAACGTGGGTTACAAAGGATATAGTTGGTTGTAAAAATGTATTAATTTCCAAGCTTAGACATGGAATAAAAAAAATGGTTATTGTAACACACTTAAGATTTTAGAGTTAATCGAGTTATTACAAAACAAATTGGATATTACACATTTGAGACAACGACAAAATTAACTAACTTACCACAAATACAAACAAATATAGTTGCTTGTAAAAATGTATTAATTTTCAAGCTTAGATGTGGAATAAAAAGAAGTTGGTTATTGTAACATAACATACTTAATATTTTAGAGTTAAGTGAAATATTACAAAAAAAAATAATTGGTTATTACCTATAAATTTGAGACAACGACAAAATTAACTTACTTACCACAAATACAAACAAACTCGCTACGCGGCCAAATTGAGCTCGTATGGTGTATAGTATTGCGTAGTTATATTTATCGTTATTATTGAAATTCAAAAAATATGTAATTTTTATTTCTTATGTATCATATATTATTAATAATTATTCTGGTACAAATTTTGTTTAGTGATATTATCGTAGATACAAGAAATTCACACTTAATTTAAAGCTATTTTCGAAATTTTTGGTTAATAATTAGTATTTTTTTCTATATTATTTATTCTTTCAAAATTTTGAGGCCGCTACGAATTTTATGAATATATAACACAAACCTTTTTATTTTATTACTTTTGTTTAGATTAGTAGCTCGATCCAGAAGTTAAAAAAATGTTATTGTGCATTTTATAAAAAAAACTTGCTGTATTTTGGGTGAGAATAAAAAGTAAACCACATTTTATTAAAAACCAAGCTGCTACAAACTATGCTAATTATTATTCTGTACTATTTCAATATGTCCTTGAGAAAAACATACCAACGCAAAAATATCACTATTCAATAAACAAGTTTTCGCACTGTGTTGTAACACGTTGCTACGATATAATTATTTGTGAATAAAAAAAATGAAATGGAAGACTGAATAATATTTGGATAATAGAATCGGTTATTTTTTAATTTCTTGTAATTTTTCGATGCTATGTGGTTGTGACTTGTTTATTGTATCCCGCCTTCACTTATACGATTAAAATAATTAACGATTGATCTTATTAGTGATGCGCCTACTCGGAAAAAACAAAACTCGATTTAACCCGAGTTAAAATCCACTTAGCTCGAGTTGAACTCGAGTTAACTGGATCGACAAGCAGTGGCGTAACTATAGCAATTGAGGCCCGTGGCAAATTCATCGTACTAATTGCGTAATAATAAATGTCAGGATTAAGGAGGCTCATCTGACCGGGGGTTGTCTGAACTGAATCTGAAGTTGATTAACACGCAACACATCCACTCACTGGCGATTCGAATACATCCCAAACTAAAGATTTTCTTTTTCTCCCGGCATTTCTTAAAAACAGAATATAAAACACCAATATTTACAACAATAAGCGGCAGTTTAAAATTAACCTCAAATCTACATAATATATTATTACGTGACACTTGTTTGTTATGAATGAGGGAATGAACATCATGCTCTTACTCAAATGATCGGCAAACTTCGCTCCATGTACCATTCGGTTTACGAACTCGAATTAGAGAGAATTCAACTCGAGTGGATTCGAGTTACGCCCAAATCGAGTAAACTCGAGTTAGTCACTCGAGTTGACCATCACTAGTTCTTATTATCGATTATTTGTACATCCCTAGTCCTGTATGTGTTGTTATGAATGTTAGTTGTCAATTTGTAGATTTTATTTGTTTTAAGGATATTGGAAGTAATATCGATAGAGACTAATTATTGTTCTAAGAAATGTGTTGATTCTAATCATACGACGAATATTCTAAAGTAGTGAATAAGATGGCGAAATCTATTATTTGTCGAGTATGTCTTTTAGCAGACCCTAAAGTGAAAAAGAAATGTTTGTCACTTTTCGATAAACACAATGATTATTTTATATTCGAATTAATTAATTCAATAGCAGATGTTAAAATACAGCGCGGTGATACCCTACCTGCCAAAATCTGTCCTGATTGTTTGTTGGAACTTGACACTGTTATAAGTTTCAAAAGAAAGTGTGAGAATTCAAACATTTTGCTAAAGACTTCTTTTATAAATAACAAGTTACCAAATGCATCGCAATCATTATTTATTCAGCCTTTGGAAGAAATAAAAAAGGAAGAACCTGAAGAGGTTGCCGAATATCTCGAAGCGGAGTTCTTGGATGAAAATTATGTTTATCCCACAGAAAAGGAAACTTTTAAAACTGAAGTAAATATTGAATTGGAACCTATCCATACCAATGAAAACGAAATTGTTGATACCGTCACTAAAAAGAGTAGACCTATAGATTTAAAATTAGAATGTAATGAATGTGGAGGTTTATTTAAAAGTAAATGTAAAATGAGAGTGCATTGGAAAAAGGTGCATATGTACGAGTCATTATTCTGTCCTCTGTGTAAGCGTTCATTTAAATCTTACAAAGCATATAACCTTCATATGAAGAAACAATCAAAGGCATGTCTAACTGCATCTAAAATTAGTATAGAAGGAATTGGAAAATCTAGGATGTTCCACTGTAAGAAATGTCAATATTCTAGTAAAAGAATCAAAGATCTTACCACTCATCTGGTTGTGCACACTGGGGAGAGACCTTTTGTTTGCAAGATATGTTCGTTGGGATGTTCCCAACAAAGTTCATTGCAAGACCATATGGAGAGGAAACATCAAATCTATAATGTCATAACAACCTGCCAGTATTGTGGAAAATTACTTAAGGGTCGTTCTAAAATTTACAAACATATGTTGACACACAAATTGGATTATGTGCAGTGTGATTTATGTAAAAAAGTGTTAAAAACCAAAAAGACTCTTATAGAACATTTAAGACGACATTCCGGTATAAAATCATATACCTGTGACCAGTGTGCTAAAACATTCTGTGCGCTATCTGAATTGTGTAACCACAGACGTGTTATTCATGAGAAAGGTAAACATATTTATCCATGCGACATTTGTGGTTATAAAGCTTATTCAACATCTGTATTAAAGCGACACAAAGCTAGACATACAGAGAGTAATGTGCCTTGTTTAGAATGTGGGATGTTTCTAGGGAATGAACAAAAATTGGCAGAACATAAAAAGCGACATATTTCTGCAGAGCGGAAGTATCCTTGTCCTCATTGTGAGAAGAGATATATGAATAGAAAATCATTAAGCCAACATGTAAGAGACATACATAAGTGCAGATTTCTAATGAACAAACCTGTTGTTAAACAGGAAGCTACTGAATTTTCTGGTTTGCAATTAAAAACATTTGATAATGATAATATGATTGAAGTGGAAGTTCCACCTTAAGTCTTTTTGATGAAGTTCAATTTAAAAATATGTGAAATTTTATTGTGTATTGTTAATGTTAAAAGATTGTGTGGTCAAATATGATATATTATACGTAATATAAATAAACATGTATGTATTTTTCCTATATGAATGGAATTAGAGCACATTTGTATAATAAAGTATTATGTAAAGAAAGGTTATTAAAAATTAATGTTTTGAGTGCATAATAATACATAACATTCTGCTGTAAAATATGCCCTGGAAACCTAACCACTCTGAACTACTGTAGCATTGTAATGGAGATTATAAAAAAAATAACTTTTCAAAAGTAAATGTTTCAAAACAAAGGCGATTTTATTTTATTTAAGTACTTGTATTATTTTAATATAAAGTAAACCTTTTTTCTCTTGTAAGATAAAATGTTTTAAGTTTTATTTCAAAACTTAATACTGATAAGTGGGTAAAGGTAGCTACAAATTTTAGTGAGGCTGGCGCTCTTGATTTTGAAATGAATGTTTGACGCATCTATTCCCCTATCTGTCTGTTCTTATAAAATAGGGACAAAAAGCCAAGTTACCTACGTAGTTTCGGAAATAAATGTGAGTCTAATTATACAGGTCTGCGATGAAAAAGTTTTTTTCAGAATTTTAAGGATAACTTGCAAATGTTGACATACATAATGCAAATATAATTTTTTTTTATTGTAACACGTCACATTTTTTTTTATCGGCATTATATTTATAATAAATTTTTCATACACCATACAAATGAACCTCAACCATTCAGTCAGATTACCCAAAGATAGTGCAGAATTAGTCGGTTCACGCTTAAAAGAGAACAATTCATTGGATGCGGAGACGACATTTAATGATATCGAAAAAGAGAACCAGATTTTGGCAGTATTTCAAGATAGAAGATAGTTTGGTATTTTGCTGTAATATTAGCGGTTTAATACAAAAATTTGACATCGAATACAAAGCAGGAGAGTGGCGACTTTTTATAGATTCATCAAAAAGAAGTTTAAAAGCTCTTCTCTTACATATAGGCAATAAATTTACATCAATACCTGTAGCTCACTCAGTTTATCTTTTCAGTTATGCAAACTTGAGAACTGTTTTAAAGTACATAAAATACTCCGAACACAAATGGTTCATTTGGGGATACTTAAAACTCATATGTATGCTTCTTGGTCAACAGCAAGGGTAGATAAAATTTCCGTATTATATTTGTGAATGGGATAGTAGATCAAGAAACTTACATTGGGAAATATATGATTGGCGTATTAGACCAAAATTGGAGGTTGGTGTAATCATAAAATATATTTTCACAGAAATGTTAAACGCCTATAAAAACTTGGGTTGTAATGAGTTGGAAAGTCTATTTTTTGAAATCTCATATTAATGTTTTCCCAAAAAATTTTGGCGACTACAGTCCATCAAGATATAAAAGAGATGGAAAGACGATTTCAAGGCCGTTGGGACGTTAATATGATGGCGGACTATTGTTGGATGATATGATATGTAGAGATGAAGTAAAAACTCATTAAAAAAAACCAACAAAACGCAGTTTCCTTTCAAAGAAAGCACGTTATTGAGCGTTTTTTTTATTCGTATTTAATTTTACTCTTTTTTTATTTCATTCAAACTCAACAAAGCTTGTAAAAAAAGCCTTTTCTATATTTTTAAAAATGTTTGACTTGTAGTTATTTATATGCTAATATTATACCATGTAAATCTGGGAAGTGTGACGTGATATATACTAAATAAATGCTGTTTTATATTACAGTTTATGAAAAAAACTTTTCAAAATAATAATTTCGCAGACCTGTGTTATTGGAACCTTAAAAATGCAGTACCTACCTAATCAAATACTTTTGTTCTTTGAACATAACTCCATGTTAGAGGTATTCAAAAGTACAATACAAAATTTTCAGACCAGCGCGAGCCGTATAACTAGCTCGAGAAACGCTTTGTCTATACCACACGTCACTTTCCTCGGGTGGAGAGTGAGATATGGGCGCACTCGAGAAAAGTGAACTTTGCGAACTTTGGCGTGCAGCAGTACCCTAGATAAGGAGATTCTTTTATCTCTGTCGAAATTACACTCTTTAATCGGCGTCGTTCCAGTGTTTTGCCTAGAGCACCAAATTTCATTAAGCCGGCGCTGCTCAAAAAAGGGTACAATATTTAAAATTCATTAATTTACGTTATACGATCGTCTTTAGTTCACATTTCAATAGTCCACCAGTTTCGGAGCTCAACTGTGTGACAGAGATGGCCACACAAATGGACAACAGAGTAATCTTTTAAGGGTTCCGTTTTTCCTTTTCATATACGGAACCCTAAAAATCAATCGCAACCGTATCCCTAATCGACTGTTAATTTTTTCAGCCTGCAAGGGACAAATACTTAAATAAGCAGAAAAATTACGGCTTTTCAATTTCTTATTGTGGACAAATAAAACCAAATTATTTATTAATATATTTATTTTATATTTTAGAGAGGAAAGCGTAGTTTTAACATCTTTTTTTGTACATAAAAAATCAATACAATTATAATCATAGTTAAATATGGTAATTGATTCGATTTTTATTGTTAGTTGCGAGGACATTTGTTTCGGACATTAGTCCTTTTTTAAACATTTGTGTAATCGATATACTTGGAATTGATATACGGGACAAAACTGTCAAATGCATACATGCTATGCCGGAGGGAGGGGGGAGGTTGTTTTCTAACAAACAAGGATGTTTGTTTGCCGACTTTACACGTCTGACCATGTTCTGTGCGTCTAACCATATATCTACGAGTAGGTACACATTCGAACAAAGCAAATTAAGAAGCTGATCATTTTATAATTTCGAGCGTCGTTTTTCAAGAGAACTTAATTGTGAAATACTCATAGCCAAATATATTTAACTAATACTTAAGCTAGAATTTAAATAAAGTAAGAACTGTAAGTAGTTATTATTAGTACGTAGTATTCTTACGATAGATTAGCTACGAGGGTTAGAATCACCAGATAGGTAATTTTAGAACTTTATTGTTATTTCCTATCTACCTGACAAGTTGCAGTGTAGTTTCAGGGACAAAAGATCTCTCTGGTCGGCTTTGAGTCGAAATAGGTAGTATATTTTAGTTTCAGGTCAAGTTAAACGAATAATTTATTTTAGGTTTCAAATAGGTAAGTAAATGGGACATTTAAAAATTATAATTTTGATGAATTACGATAAAACTAAACCGAGTAGCTCGGTGAGGTAGTGGATAAGCGCCGCGGCCCGCGATCGTGGTCGTTAAGGGACGTAAGGGTCGGTCACGGGATGGGTGACCAAAAATTATTATCTCGAGCTACTCCGTGCTTCGAAAAGCACGTTAAGCCGTTGGTCTCGGCTGCATTTGCAGTCGTTAATACCCTCTAATCCGCATTGGGCCAGCGTGGAGGGTCATGGCCCATCCTCCTTAACCATCCATAAGGAAGGCCTGAGCCCCTGCAGTGGGGACGTAAAAGGGCTGGTGATGATGACGATGACGATAAAACTCTAGAGAAGTATTTAAGAACGCTCAAAAAAACGAAAAAAAATATCACATCTAAATTTCATCGATTTCGCTATGCTGCTCATAGGATGGATGATCAAAAATTTATTATATCATAATCACCACTAGATCGACTCTTGGTGTTATAAAGATAAATGAAATGAAATGATGTTTATTTGAAAGAAAGTTGTCACAGATATGATGTTATTTTTTAAAGAAAGCACACACATTCTGCCCACTTGGTCCGCGTACAAATATTTTAAGACCCATAAGAATCAAATTAAAGTTTCTTAATGTCAGATAAACTTAATTATTAGAATTTGCAGAGTTACATAGTGGTTACAAGTTAGGACGATATCCGACAGATATCACACTATTTAAAAATATATAATTTCGAACATTTCGAAAAGCAAGTAGATTTAACAACCCCTCGCAATGTGAACACTCTGTTTTAAGATAAGGAGTAAACATAATATATCACGAAAATTCACACACACAAACAAACAATATAAAAACCTACGCTAATTATTATATCCACTTAATGATTGATTTTATACAATATATGTACAGAGACACATAACAAAATAATCAATAATAAAACATTGCCCTAAACCTTAACCTAAACTTAGTGAATGTGCACATTTGTGATGCTCAAGTTTCGGCAACGGTTTGGTCAAAATGTCGGCGATCATATCTTGTTGTAGACGATGCTGTATAACTGTTGATGATGGTGCAAAACAAAGACGGATTTCTTCTATAGACGATTTATTGTATTTTCTTCTTACTGACTACTTATTACTGCTTGACTGACTTGACTTGACTACTTGCTGAACTGCTTGTTGACTACGACTATGTACAAATTTGGCCCTACCCTTATCCTAAACTTACTATCTAACTTAGATACTAGTGACGCGCGGCGGCCGACCAATCACAGCGCGTTTTACGCCCGCGCGCCGGGTTGGGGAATCGCCCCCACCGTGCGGACGGCGCCTACGCAGCCAATGGGCTCCCCGATAATTCAGCTAATGTAGGCGCTGTGATTGGTCGTTCGATTCGTTCATTTTTCGGCACGTGGATGTCGTCAACACTTGTGTTAGTATATATTTTAGCTGTAAATTGTGTAGGTAATGTGAGTCTCGCATGAATATATGTTTGGTATGTGTGTGGTAAAAGTTGTCGTGTGCAAGTTTAATTGAACTTTGGTTGGCAGTGTGTATGATGAAGGGATGTGAATTGATACTTCGCTAATGAGCGCCTTGAGGTATATGGCCTCTTTGCAAACATCTGCCAAAGCCATGTATTCGGTTTCTCTAGTAGACTGTGACTGTGCGCTGCTTGTGAGCTATCCACGATATAGGAGTGCCGCTCATTAGGAATACAAAACTGGTGTATGAACGTCCGTCCACAAGATTGTTTCCATAGTCAGTATCGACATGACGCATAGGATGAAATAGGCCTGATGGTTTGACATGATTGTAACAACCACATGGGTTGTTAAAGTTCAGAAAAACTTGCTTAGCGCCCTTCCAGTATACTTAAACATATATAATTTAAATATATGACTGACATATACACTGCCAGGATGCTCACATTGAAAACTAAGTAGGTTTAACAGAGACAATGGTAAAGGGGATATAGTTTAAAACCACTTCAAAGCCTATCTGGGTTAGATAATGTATTATCTATTAGTAGGTTAATTAATTAATATTAAACAACACCGCATACGTCGTCTTAAATCTCCAATATCGAACTAAGTACCTTTATTATAGTTACCTTGATGGTATTATGTAAATTCGAAACTGCTATACAATCTGAGACAATTGAGAAAAGTAAAAATACCGGCTAAGTGTGAAAAGAGCAAAACGAACACTTTTTTTATGTATGGAAACTCCCTCATAATTTTTTAATTCTGTTTTCTAGTATATGTTGTTCTAGTTATATGTTGTTTGTAGCGGATTCAGAATCGAAGATGTTCATAAATTGATCTACCGTAATATAAGGCATATTACGAAAAATTATATTCACAATATTTTAAAGAAATCTTTTTTAACTAAGGTAATATTTATGTGAAATACTTGTTCTCAGATGAAATAGATGGCTCTAGTATGGAACTTTGACAGGTTTGCACTAAACCGGCAAAACTTGTGACAATCAAAATCAAAATATCATGCGTTTCGATTTCCTTTCTGATCGTAAGCATAAGATGCAAATATTACTTTAAGTTACTAGTTATTATTATATTAAATTTAAAGCGATTGCGGCTTAAAACCTTACTGATACAACCGATTTATACTCCATTCATTAAAGTATTAGACAGAAGTGAAATAAGGTTCTTTTTATGGTATACTTTGTGACAAAATATCAATAATCATGTTACTTTTAAGACTGACGGCTAATTTGCTACATATTCACTTAAATATCAGCTACTATACTTAACTGATGTCATTTAAGCTAACTATTAAACAAATTTATGAGTATATGACTAATTTAAATGATTGAATAAGTATTACAATAAAAAGTGTCCATCGTAAAGAACCTAAAGAAGCAGGGTTGGATAGTTTCGGCACGATTCTCATGTCACTATATAACTCTACCAAATTTAAAACGTTGCCTAACTCGTTATCTGGGATTGTCATCCATTGTGAATGCTACTGCTTTTCTTGTTGTTTAGCCGTTTTCCGTGATGTTATTGTTTTATTTTTGTTGTTAAGTTTTGGTAAATATGGACGATGTCGGTACAGGCCCGAGTGACCTACAAAAATTACGCTCTAGGCCCTCATACCTACCCTCAAACTTTGATATTTCAGGGAGTTTTTTCAATGTCTTCATCAATAGTCTAACTTATTACACTTACAATTAGAATTTATCAAAACACACAGATAGTTTCAGTTTTGGTTCCATGTTGGCTTAGGACTAAAAGATGAATTTATAAAATGCTGGCCTCATCTCAACCCCGAGGTATCATAAAAAATGGAAAATTTCCCAGCTCTTTCAGACTACCTAATGTTCAAAGTCTCAACAAAACTAATATAGATTTTTTAATTTTATCTTGAAAATAAAATGTTCTGCACTGCTGCTTCTATGACCCTCTTTTTTCTAATGTTATAGTGAATGGAGTATAGATACATTTTAGAATTAGAAAATTAGACGACTAATTAAAAGTATGTATATTTTCCAAAAATCAATAGTAAGTCATCAAATGGGTATATTTTTAGATGTGTGTGTGTGTGTGTGTGTGTGTGTGTGTGTGTGTGTGTGTGTGTTTTTGTTTTTTATTTAAGGTTTATTAATAATATTAGAGTGCGCATACTTCAAAATAATTAATTCTCTATTGGTTTTGAATAAATAAATAACGTCTAAATAAGCTGTGATTAAAAATTAAATAATGTTTCTGTCACAGTCAAAACGTGAATTTATGAAATTGGGTCTCCTTCCTCATCAAGTTGTTTTCGGCAGAGGGTCGTTATCTTTTCAGTGGATAGACAATTTTTCCCTTACGAAATCTCTTCGTGATTCTTGGTAATGTGGAGTGTTACATATAGGTTTGTGCCTTGTTCCGGACTGTTGCGTTAGAGAATTTAATTCTCTAAGGACCTCATGTGGCTCTCATTGGGCTACGAACCGTCGAATAAAATTGGGTATACTTATTACCCTATTTGTATAGGGAAAATTGAGAAATATGTGAGCTACTTTGCAGTCAATAAAGCCCTATTTACGTTAAAGTGCATTTTTATTAACACTCAAAAACTGTTACAAATGTACAATATAAATAAAAAGTTAAATACACATGTTAAAGTACCTACACTACTAACATTACTTTTAATCTTGTGAAATTTTTATTGTTTTTTTTTATTATTTAGTTACCTACCTATATAATTTTAAATGTCTAATTTTGAGTAAAATTATTTTAAATTTACTAAAGATCGAATAAAACAAATATTCTTAATGAAATTTTTTTTATTCGATCTTCGATTTGAAGTAAAATTACATCTTTGGGGCGTATTACCGTAGTCATAGATTAGTATGTACTACAAGATTAGGCCATCATCGATGCTGCGTCCGGGTGCATTGCACCCCCTGCACCATGGGCAAAGACGAGCCTGCTAATACCTACAAAGTATTTTAACACTTAGTTACTCAAAGTTAAAAGGGTGGAGTTGTCCCCGGTTAGTGAAAGGTTACTATTTATAATCCTATCTTAAGCTTTTATATATGAGAAATATTAAAGGCCATCCATAAATATGGTACCTAAACACGTCACACGTCCTATCTGCAATGTAATGTTTGATATTTTATTAACTTAACTAGATAACCTTAACTCCTAAGCTCAATCTTTAAATTACTGCACGATCTTTGACTGCGTCCGTTCGCCAGCAACAAGCCAACAAACAGCACCGGTACGGCGCGGTGGCTGCCCGGCGAGCGCCATTTTTGCCTCAGTCCTGTTATACGCGTGTAGTGAGTTGCACGTTTCCATCGCGCCTTTCGCGGTACACCGTTACGATCGTGATTGAAAACATTATGTACTCAAATAGTGTTTGGATTTAATCGCACCTCATCTAAACGTCGTTGAAACGACAAAACACGAGTGTTAATGCGAAAATTCGCGACAGTAGAAGTCGTTAAAAAGTTGTGTTGCAATTTTCCGTCTCGGACACCTTCGAAAAGTTCGTTGTGTTAGCATCGTGTGATCTGCGAAACGTCTGTGTTCTACGTAAATAGTGATATTTTTTGTAAATTCGCATCCAATTGGATTCTTGTTGGAGCCGTTATACGTTGGTTTATCTTTTCCGGCCAGTTTGTGATCGCAGCAATTTTCAGGTAAGTGTATTACACTTTTACACACTCGTGAATAACAGCAGGTAATTCATAACCTGATACCTGTTGATTTGTTTGTCCAACACGGGTTGGAATTGCCTAATTACCAATGGTATTCTGAATCAAAAGTCAAGATTCATCGTATAGATTCCTCCTAGCCTACCGACCTCCTGGAATTACTTTTATGTACCTGTCTGTAAGTAGGTAGGTACATTGAAAAGGCTCAACTTGGCTCAACTATGTTCTGTGTTGATGTTTCCATTTTGCAAAAGAATCTGCCTGCCATGGTATGGTTTTGTGCTTGAAGCCTGTTGATAGTTAGGTACTTAGTGACTACTAACACAACTAGGGACTAGGGTCGTAACTTAGGCGCCCGCGAAACAGGTGAGGATGGAAAGGAAGGACACGTTTATATTTACCAAAGACTTCTAATTTACACCTATGTTGTGTAGTGTTTGTCACGACAAAAATATAGTAGGTAGGTAGGTACTTTCCACAACAACGAGACATTAATATTTTTCCATCTTATGGATGGTTTACACGGAATAAATTCATAAGTATTTAATTAAATGTTAAAATTAATTTTATAATGACTGGTTTACTCGTACACGTAATAAGTTGATAAGTAGTTAACTTAATTTTACACGTACTTAATCATTTAAAAGTAAAATTAAGTTAACTACTTATCAACTTATTACGTGTAAACAGATAGTATTTTTTAAACGGAATAGGATATCAAATCCCTTATAGTCAAACAGTGAAATCACTAATAATAATTTTCAGTTTCAATTACTTTTTCATTCAAAGTTAGTAAATTAAATTATTGAAGCCTGAAAAGATGTTCAGTTTGGCTTGAAAGTAATTTTCTATTTTACTTGGAAAAGAAAAAAAAAATTTAAAAGAATTAAAATTATTATCTCGAGCTACTCCGTGCTTCGGAAGGCACGTTAAGCCGTCGGTCCCGGCTGCATTTGCAGTCGTTAATACCTTCCAAACCGCAGTGGGGACGTAAAAGGGCCGATGATGATGATGATGATAACTTGGAAAAGAAGTATTTTTTATATCGTACCCGTCCTCCCTTAAAGGAGCGCGGCTCACTAGTTGGGAAGTCCTGTTTGAACACTTATACATAACTATAGACATAAACATTTGATTATTTGTAAAATCTGCTATCATATCTACTATATTCAGTCAGGTATCCTTTAAAAAATGAAACTTATATTCAATTTACCTGGCAAGGCATATTCGTCGCAATGAACACCAAAGGGATAGCTTGGGGCCTTAGGGAAACATACTGCGTTTGCAAGGGGCGACTCGTATTCACTTCTTTATGAGATCTTTTATGATAATGATAATATTCTGACCACAAAGTAGTATTTTACCTAACATGAAAAATGAGTTATTTGGGACCGTAAAAGCCCTGTACTTTTAATTCTAAGACAAAGGAATCCATAACCAGAATATGCTTTTATCTACTGCAAAGTTTCCAACAGTTATTACATTTTTCCAGTACTGCTTTGAGTGTCACTGATACCTTTCCGTGCGCCTTTATTTTATCACAGAGGTCTTTATGTCTTACGGCTCCATCCGGTAAATGCGCAACTGTACATTCAAAGTCCTTAACCGTCCAGTTGGAGGAACCCACACAGGCAATACCCTTATCGTAGACAGCAACATTAATGAAAAATGTTTAAGAAATCCACTTTGTCCCTGGCTCTCTAAGATGGGGCTCAAACCCATGACCTTTCGCAATCCGATTGACTGTTCTAACCACAGAGCTACACAAGATCTTTTTTTGATAACGCAGCTAAAATGCACCTTACGTAAGCCTTAAACTAGGGCTCGTTTCCGCTCCCTTCCTAAAAAGGACAGGCTTATGCTGTGTCGGCCTACCTGGTAAAACTCACTGCTATCCAAGACCTAACTGGACTGACGAATTTTTCAAACACTTATTACTTTTTTCGCTTCAAAATATTCTTAGTGAAAAATGAAAAATGCTTAAAAATATTTTTATTAAAAATATATTTCAATATAGCATCGTGAATTTAAAATTGATCATTTAAAATAACAAAACATTTGTTACTGGTAGGTGTAACAAATTAATGTAAAAGGTGCGATTGATTTGAAAGATTGAACAATAGTGACTTGTTGTCTGTTTATGTTATTGTATCAAAACAATAAGTTTATTGTGATCGAAAAAGGTTGCATTACTTCCACCGCAAAGTAACAGGCTAGGGTTGCCATCATTAAAGTTTGAAGTCTGGTTTAAACACAGATCGCCGAAATGCCAGGGTTTTAATCATGAAGATCTTCAGGCTCTCTTTTACCTCCGCTTACGTTCCCTTACAAAAACGCAAACAAATGCGTATCGTGAGTAAACACGCGCCCGTTTTATTTCATACATTTTTAATCAAAGTTAAAAACAAATCAGTTATAAAAAAAAGAAATTATCATTTTCGATCAAACCCATTTTGGTTTATAAATTTTATATATTTCAGATGAAATATGTAAAAAATCTGTTTGAGTCAATTTTGCGTTTTTTTTCTATTGATCCAGTTATTGAAATTTATGTTTCCGTTTTTTGCAAACAATCGACCACATATTTAATTTTTATAAAATGAATTTTATTTTGCAAATATCAGTGATAACTTTGTAATAACTCGCCTTAACAGAACTATTGAAAAGACCGTCCAATTGGTAAACTAGCTATTTAATTAAATGGCCTATTCAGTGTACAAAATTTCATTTTCTACATCGACTAACCGGGGACTGGAAACCGGCGTCCGAGCAACACGGCTTCAAAGGTAAATGAGCCATTTTCCACGGTGTGCAATATAGAGATCATTTCTGGGTACATACATTGCTATGTTAAAGTTCCACAAAATGTAATTGACCTCCACTTAAATAAATTTAAAATTCATGTAAAGAATATACTTATGTGTAAAGGCTATTATAAAGTTGATGATTATTTTAAGGATCGCTATACATGGAATTAATAGCTTTCGCTTTGTTCTATAATGACTAATTATTTGTACAACCTATGTCCTACAGACTTTGAAAGTTGTATTTATTATTGTAATATATATTATTTTGTTAATGACATGATTTATGTAAATGTCATTACTTATGATAAAGAGCTGGTAAGTTTCTTTCGCTTTTTCTTCTTGTCAGCTAAAAGACGTCCTGAACAAGTGGTAGGGGAAAATATTTTTTTTGGACGATTCAAAAGTGCTTGTAATAAGATATACTTGAATAAAGATATTTTCTTTACATTTTAGATGACCAAAAATTTCCAGTCCAATTGCCTAGTAGTTTCGGAGCATATTAAATGCACACAAACAAATAATCAAATCTTAACTTTTTATAATATTAGCTTAAAAAAGGTACCTCAATTCATCCATTTCTACAAAACTCATAAAGCATTGAAAGCTTGTCAGGCGTTCATTCATTCAAAAATGTCAATGATACACGCGTCGGACAAATCCTTCCAATTAAATATCAAAAATACATCTTAAGTAACGCCTCACAAAGTTCCTATTTCAATGTTCATTTGCCGTATTGAGTTGGTTTAATTTACATTTCAAATATTTCTGGACATTTCAATGGTTCGTAATTACGAACAACTAGTTAATGGCCGTGACTGCGTCTGTGTAGAATTCGGATTTAATATTCCTTTAATAAACCCTAAATAGCATTTTAGCGGAACAAAAAATAAGATCCTTATTGTTTATTGAACAACTTCATTGAGTATTTCATCTATAGAGATGAAATACTCAATGAAGTTATTCATATATACTGAATAAATATAATATTATACGATTAAAAACGGACTCACGCACGAAGGGTTCAGTTTATAAGAATCACGTTTTGATGTACATATGAAAGTCCTCTTTATACATTTCTTTCATTCTGGCAACAAAAATACATCATTTGTGAATATTTCAAATGAAATTCTATCACGGTTCATAAGAAACAACCTAGGGATACATACACCTAGGGACAGCGGAGTCTTATGCCCGTTTCCCTAAACTTAGGAGTCGCCCAAATCTGTCGCCTATATATTTAGGAATCGCCTAAGGTAAAAAATTCACCATTGACTAGGAAGCACCTAACGAAATTAACCAATGTCCAAAGTTATGACATTCGTTAGGCTTATAAAACATGTCAAGAGATGAAAGAAAAAATAATATTAGGCGTTTCCTACTTAAGCTATGCCTTGTTCTAAGTTAGTGAAAATGGGTGTTATACTCGTACCTCGTCAAGAGAAGTAATTACTTGAGAAAATGTGTATTTTAAGCCAATAGATGAAAATTTAAATGAAATATGAACTGTTATATAATAATAACAATATTTCTTACTTTTTTCCTTCCTTCAAATTTTTGTTTATTTCTTTAAAATATTTGCTTTTTCAGTAATTAATTACTTTTACTCGACTACTGAAGTTACAGGTCCGTAAGTAATAGGGCCTGTAGCTATTGAACCCCAGAAAGAAAATGTGTTAGACTCGTTTATTGGTTGAATAAATGAGAAAATATTTCTAAAAATTAAAATTACCTCATTATTTACATATTTGGAATTAAAAGAAACACGGTGACGCTACACATAACTTGTCCTTGCGATTGGGGAAAAAACGTCATCGCTATCAATCGGGACTAATAGCCTTGTTGTTATTATTACCCCCAAATCCTCACTGATCCCGCATGGTTGCATTGGATTTTATCAGATTTAACAGCGGTATAATAATGAACTCTAATAATATACAAAAGAACTAGCCGACCCCATTGTTTTGCATATATCCTTAAAGGTGTAACAATTAGAAAACAAACTTTTGTCGCGTCGAATGAATATACATAAGTATAACATTTCATTCAAATCGGTCAAGCCGTTTCGGAGGAGTTATGCTAAAAGCTGTGACACGAGAATTTTATAATATACCTACTTTGTCTGATTAAACTTATTAGAGTACCAGTCGATTTTAGGTAAAGTTACATTTCTTAGGAGTC